GATGACGGACCTTAAATCAGCATTTCTTCCTGAGAGTCCAGAAGTGGACTTGAGGATTGTTAGGGCGGGGTTAATTAGCGTATCAACTTTAGTGAATAATTTTAGAGTTCTGTCTCTGATATATTTTTTCACTGAGTCAATTCTAAGATCTCTATGTATGTCTTTTGATCTAATATACCATGGAATCTTAAACAGTTTTCCTAAAGCCAGGTTTTGAGTTATCTGTAATTGCTTTAAGGTAGTATTTCAGGCGGCTTTGCTATATGTAACACATCCGTACAGTAGTGCAGGTCTAATTACTTGCGTATAAAGTAACTTTCTGTTTTTAAAGTTGAAGTGATAATTATTAAATAGCGGCTTTAATAAATGCAGAATCTTAGACCAGCTATTCCGTTTGTATTTCAAATGTTTAAGCCAATTGAACCGTTTGTCAAAAGTGACCCCCAGATATTTTATGTTATCCTCCCACTGTATCTCCGTGTCGCAAACACTCACTCTTGGAGGATGCTGTCTTCTTTTTCGAGTTATAAATATAGCCTTGGTTTCGTCATTATTAATTTTAATCTTCCATTTTTGGAAGTATTCCACCATAAGGTCTATATTTCCCTGTAAAGTGTTGCTTACATTTATGGCATCCCGATCCGAGTAGATCAAGCACGTGTCGTCTGCGTAAAGCGCCATTGACGTGGGACTTAAGGTGGGGATGTCTGCCGTATATACATTAAACAATGTGGGAGACAAAGGCGACCCTTGAAGTACACCTGCTACTATTGATCGGGCGGATGAAAGAGTGCTGTTAATTTTAGTATGGAAGGACCTTTCTTGCAGGAATCTACCAATGATTTTAGTCAAACCACTAGGGATCGCAAAACGGGCCAATTTGACTATTAGACCATCATGCCAGACCTTGTCAAATGCTTTGGCTATGTCAAATATAATCATCCCGGTGGACTCCCGTTTACTTAGAGCGGTTTGTATCAGCTGCGCAGTTCTGGCTAGTTGTAGTTCCGTGGAGAGATTATCCCTAAACCCGAATTGCTCGTCAGGAAGTATATTTAGGGCATTCACCGCTGTTTTAAGCCTAGTCAGGATTACTCGTTCTGCCAATTTCCCCATAGTTGGGAGCAGACTGATAGGACGCCAGTTCTGTGGAAATGAAGGATTCTTATCCGGTTTAGGAAACACTATGACTAAGGACATCTTCTAGGCCTTTGGAAATTCGCCAAGCCTAAACATGATGCATTGGATTGCGTCTTCTGGAAGATTACGTAGATTACCCATATGAAATTATGAAAGTTTTGATTTAAGACAAATAATTATATGCTATAGATGTCTAAACTTGTACAAAATTTTTTCGATTTATGGCCAAAGTGAAGGAAATAACAATATGTCAGTTCAAATTTAGTCATGAGAGCCAAGATTGTCTGTGTCTCGTCACTTAGACAAAACGGTGTTGTTCAGTAATAAATGTTAACATTTGTGTCTTTTAGTAGCAAATGATTACAATTTGTGTGACACTCTCTATAATATGCCATTCGTCATAACCCAAAAGGGCTAATTTTAACGAGTCCATGACACTCTGCATGGCCCTTAATACGCTAAAAATTTAGTAATTTTTGAGAAATTACTCATAAGTGGATTTATGTGCCTTATCACACAACAGTGTTGTTAAGGAATAATGTAAAAACCTACGCCTATTACGAGTGAATGTGTGTATTTTTATATGAATATTTATGTATATTCACATAAATAAAAAATATCTCTTAAATTCAAGAACAAGAAAACATACCAAAATGGTAGTAAAATGAGAATATTGTTAAAAATGATATAACTCTCGATCTATCGTAACTTAAAGTCATGACTAAAAACAGCGCAAAATGTTCTGTAGAACATGGTATTAAAAAAATTATATATTGTGTTGTTTTTGATCAATATTAAATACAAATATTTTGTACCCTTGTGGAAACCAATCATTATCATAATTGAAAAAAATTCTCAATTTCGAGCCCAGTTAACATATCCAAGAGAAAGCTCTAGTGGGTAAGAACTGAATGCCATCTCCAATCAACAGGAGATCGTCATTACAGTTGCATAAGCGAATTTCGGAGACACCGACAAGTTTTGAATCCAATATAACTCCAGTAGCAGTATCTGCAGTAGAACAACCGAAGAGCAAGACAACCAAGCAAGTGCAGGCCATTCATCAAACGAAGACATCCTACGAGATGGTCAAGCAGAATGGTGAGTGGAAAAAGATAAGAGATGAAACATAAAAATCGAACCACATCGGCAAATGCAACCGCCAAAAAAGTTGCAGGACTATTTGATGGGGGAGGAACTGTGATTCGATCATGGCAACACTGCATGAATGATAAAAAGGAAAATTCGTGTTTCCGTAGTTGTGATTATGATGCGTAAGAGTGCCACGCAGTGTAAATATAAATACATAATATTAATTGTAACGTTATATCTATTATATCAATAAAGAACTTAAAAACTTAATCTTAAAAAATTTCATAGTTTAGACATCTGTGTGACTCAATTATTTCAGTGTTAGAACTTAATCTACATTTGAATATAATACATTGTAAATTACAATATTAATATAATAAAAGGATTCATTGATATAAAGAGATATAATGATTTTTTATGGTGTTTATATATAGTAGTTTTTATATATACAATATTAAGCTATTTATTTCAATACTTTAATATGAACATATAATGTTATGTTATAAATTAAAATAATATATTTATTGAATAAGGGAATATAATTTTAATTAATTTTAAAGAAAGTTCTTAGATATTAATAAAGGTATATTAAAAGGATAAACAATTTGATTAATAACAGCGAAAATAAAAAATCAAGATGACTGTTAGTTCGATATTTTTTTTAAGCATACTTAATAACCTTTCGAAATCATTCTTAGTTCATACAGATTTAAATTTTGGGTATTATAATAAATAAAAACAATCTAATTTCATGGAGCATATCATCTTTAAATATACATATTTATTAACAGATGCCAATAAGACATAAAATTAACATAAAATTTTTATTGTAAAAAATTGAACACTAAGCCAATGTACAGAAAAAGGAATTTTAACCTCCAATTTTCTAAACAACCAAATCTAATGCTCTGTTGAATCAGTCTGGTTATTTTCGCTAGAAGTTGTTTCAGCTGATGAAATAGTCTGATTTTCATCATCACATGAAGATCCCAAATAATATTCAGTTGAAACGGTAGAATCAGTTTCACTACTGACTGCACCTCCTGTCTCTGCATAATACCTTTCACATTCTTGCAATTCTTGTCTTAAATATGCGTTACGTCTATTCATGCGTTCGGTGAACACATCATTGGCCCCATCCTTCTTAGTGCGCTTTTTCGGGGTGTCCGTGTTAGTTATAAACTTAATAAAATGTGCACGGTCGAGCAACTTTTCGTTTTCCTCTGCTTCAAGCTTAAACCAGTCATGCTCAGGAGTATCATCCCCCCCACTTTCATAATCAATAGATTCGCCGTCACTGCCATAATGATCAGTAATATTACTTTGTACTAAGTTTCTGTATTGGTTTAGTTGAGCTCGCTAAAATATTTTATGAAAAATTATAAAATATTCATATTGAAACAATATTGAAATAAAATAACTTACGGCTGAACTCAAGAGAGAGAAACCATCCAAATTTTCATTAGATCCATTACGACCATTACGACCAGTACGATCAGTACGACCAGTATGATTAGTACGACCAGTACGTGGGAAAGGCATTTTACAATCTTATACGGTCCTAAAACAAATTAATGAAAGAAAAACGCAATAGGTGCTCAATCAGCACTAATCGTCTGAAAGATTTCTAGGACAGGTACTTAACTGTAAATATTTAATATTAATTATTTAATTCTTTTCTTTTTGAAAATTAATGTTATTTACACGCAAGTCAAGTCTACTGTAAAACAATTACAATGAAGTTTTACTCTTGACGTTTATTTTTACAACAAAATTTGGAACTGATGGTAGAGAAAATATTTTTTAAATGTTTTGAAATACACAAATCATTTTTAAGTTAATTTAAATAATTGATGACACACTATGTTTTTTTAACTGCTTTTAACTGCTTTTTAACTTAAACTAGTACAAGTGTAAGAGAAAAATAGTCTAATAGATAGAAGATTGATAATCATACGAAAACAGTTATCATTGCGTTCCACAGAGAAAACCTCATTACTTGCTCTTTTGGATTCTTTATAGTGACTTAGTGTGATTCTAGGGTTTTTCTGGAAGGGGGTCAGATTTCGAAAAAAAACGTTAGTATTTTGTTAGTAAATAAAATCTATTAGTTAGTAATTTAAAACTAACATTTTAGTTTTAAGAACAAAATTTTAAATATATTATATTAAAGTTAAAACATCTAACTCCCTTATAGAATTAGAATCTATAGAATTCATTTTAAAAACAGAGAAAACCTCATTACTTGCTCTTTTGGATTCTTTATAGTGACTTAGTGTGATATTCTAGCGTTCTTCTGGAAGGGGGTCAACTTTCGAAAAATCACGTTATTATTTTGTTAGTAAATAAAATCTATTAGTTAGTAATTTAAAACTAACATTTTAGTTTTAAGAACAATATTTTAAATATATTATATTAAAGTTAAAACATCTAACTCCCTTATAGAATTAGAATCTATAGAATTCTTTTTAAAAACAATATTTTTCAATCGTCAGGCAAATGCTGTTAATAACCTTATATTATTATTACATATATATATATATATTAAATATTTTAAATATACGCAACTATTTTTTTAAATCAAAAATTAAAAAAAAATATTTATGTGTAGATAGATAGATTCGTAGAGTTGGTTAATAAATGAAATAGAAGTATAAACTTATCGTTAACAGCTTTTAATAGTAGTGCGGGTAGTGTATATTTCTTTCTCTACTTCTTCTATTTATATATTCTTTCAACAGAGTATAAGTGATCAATTGTAAAGTCAACTTATTTCTACACAATATTTGAAACGGTGTTTGAACTATCCATACTATTATGAGCTACTTCTACAAGTACATTCCAATCGCTCTTTTACCTGTTCAAACTCGAACCGAAGACATTTGTTTTCTTCCTCAATAGTAATTTTCTTTAATTTTGTCCTGAATATTATTATTTTTTTCTAGTTTTGTTGTTAAATATCAGATTTCAGTGATATCAGTAAAATGCTCTGGTACGTACAGTTGACATTTTTTGATTGTGAACAGATGTTTAAAACTTAAATATTTAAGAAACTTAAAACTTTAAATTTGTATAAAAAAATTTGTATAAAATAAATAAATAAATAAATAATTTAATTCTTATAGAGAGTGTATAACTATTTCACAAAAATTTAAATGGATTTTTTTAGCTATTCCTATTCAGTCTTTTGTAAAATAATGAATTAATGACATTTCTAATTTCTTCAATCATTTTCTGTACAAGTTTTTTCTGATACTTCCTTATTACCAATAACTCTTCGCGACCAAGATTGTATATCTATTGAGAAATTGTTTTTTTTTTATAAGCAGCCAAAGCTTTTATAAGGTTATTAGTTTGAGTAATTCGGTCTTTATTAGCGTCTTTCTTTTTAACAACTTATGTCCTTTAATAAGTTCATTTCAATTGATTAAACTGATTATCGAATCTTATAAAATCTTCTGGATACTGGTTTTTACTGGTTAATACTGTTTTCAACTATTGGTGATGCTATCAGTGAGGAATTGTTTCCGTCAAGGCTTCCAAAATTTCCGGAACATTTGGGTCCTAATTTTAACGCAAGGTTATACCACTTTCTTAAAGACATTTTTAAGTTGCACCAATGATTAACTATATTACAAAACTTTAGCTGTGCTATTTTAACTCTTCCTCATCATCTTTTTGTAAAACAGTTGGTCACTAGTGTTTGTATCTTCTTCGAAGAAACATGTTGTCTACGAGTTTCTCCCATTTTTCACATTATCGAATGATAATAATTTGATTAGTCTATAGACAGCTATATATCAAGTTTTTTCAATTTTCCTGTTTACAATATTAGATATTGACACAATCGTACTAAGTAATAATTTAATGACTTCAACTTAGATCTGGATGCTAATAATAGATATATAGCATTGATCTATTAACATCATTTAGTATTAAAGTAATGAATATTGTCATACCAGTAAAATAATATATCCTCAAAAAAAAAAAAAATTCAAACATAATTGAATCTACCTTTAAGTCCTCTGGGTTAATATTTTTTTGCTGTCTTATTTTTAGATTGCATATAAAAATAGAAAATAAAAATAATTTTCTTTTGCCATAATTTCCATGTTAAAAATTTTCTCTTTATATATTCGCATATAGATTTTTTGCATTCCACTGAAATAATTTTAACAAAATTGGAAAGATCGCTTAGGGCAATTAAAAATTATCAAACAAAAGTTTTGAACTTTATGAGCTGTTGAAGTGTGTGCTTGTAGATAAATTCTTCCGCATCGATATCAAAATTTCCGACTGATGACAGGCCATAACTGAAAAGTAAGGATGCGATTGGGGTAGCACTTGTGGCACATTTGCCATAAAATTCACAGAATTGAAGTGTGAAATGAGGAGTTAAGTAGACATAAATACCACATCCATGACAGAGCATTAGCCCGGCATTTAAGCAAGAGCATACATCAATACGCAGGCTTCACGACTTCATATACACATGAGGCATAAATACGGAGATTCACTTTTCAAACTTTTACAGATGCGTCCTACAGTAATGAGTTGAGCGGAATTTAATTAAAATTTTTATGACGCTTAAGTGTTGATAATGGCATGGAAAAAAGCTTCCAACTTCTTTACTGGCGCTGCTGTTGTGGCGTCTTGCGGTATGATGCTTCACTTTCACGTCCCCAGCTCTGTATCCACCTTTGCCTCATTATTTCGTTGTTCATTGAAGTTATTAAAATTACCACGGCATATAATTAGCTGACAGTTTGTCAACATTAAGAAATTTTGTTCTCATTGCGCTCTGAGGCATTTTTCGAGGAAATCATGTTTGTTTGCCAAATTGGCGGTTGATAAATCAATCATTAAATTTATGTCCTCTTCTTTGCGGCTGAAAAACTTTTATGCTGGAAGCTGTTTATTGTTAATACTGTTACTCGATGATAATTAAGTGAGTTCAATTTAGAGTAGGGAATTATAAAGTGCAGAATTTTATTACACAGCACTTTTTGACAATTATATGAAGTATTAACTAATGAAATTTGCAAAATGGAATGAAGTGGGATATAAAGTTATTAAATGTTAATTTTAAATTTTAACGTTATTAATATTTCATATTATAATGTTCTTCATTTGACAGCTTTTTACGTGTTAACTTGTCATTAAGAATGTGTAGATAGGAGAGTTAAGTATTGGGATTTAAAGATTACTTCATCCTAATATTATAAACTATGGTGATTACACATTCATTTCGACTTTAAAAGAACCAAGTTTTGTATGCAACTGACCACCAAACATTAATGTAGTGGCGTCATCCCTGTACTGAAATGTCTGGCCTTATGATACTCGTACTCACGTAAAATTTTATTCCATACTATAATTAAGTGTTTATAATGAACATTAACTAGATCTCATCTTAAATTATTCTTACGTTTATCCACCGTACTCACCGTTTGACCCTACAGGAGTTGTTACTGCTTAATAATACAATACTTTAATTATTCTTTAAAATCTTTACATAGAAACGTATTATCAGAAACTAACTCTTGCGACTGTCTGAATCATGCAAACCTGCGTTTCTCAATTACTGCCTTACTTGTTTTCTAGCCATTTGATTGCATTCTATCCACTTGGAATCTGCATCTGTTATAATTAATTGCTATCGCTTTAAAAGTGGTCCAAAAAAATCAAACAGCACTCTACTTTAAGTTTTGTCTGCTAGTTCCACACCCATAATTCCTGCATAGATGGATCTGTGTGTACTTTAAGACATGGAACACAACCCTAAACTATGTTTTCAAATCCTCATTCAGTTGCAGATAATATATAATTCCTGCATAGATTGATCTGTGTGTGTTTTGAAACGTGACTCACAACACTGATCTAACCTAGCTAAATTTTCATTCTGTTTTGACCATCAAGAACATTCCCATAGCCTAGACTTTTTTCTTCACTATTCCTATGTGGGATGATGAGTCATATTTTATTTTATATATTGAAATACATACCTATATGAAAGATAATATTTCATTTAATATATACTGATATTATTGTTTTGTTGATTTTACAAAAATATTGAGTAATAAATATATTTTATTTAATATAATTTTAGAAAATGATTTATTATGTTGAAGCTGTTTTGAGCTAGTGCACTTAAGCACTTATACTCTTTTTTAACTCGATGTATTTACTTTAATAATAAATGAATGAAATCATATTCACATAATTATGTCAATTTATATTGATAAGCTTAAATATTCCATTTTGTTTTTCTATATAATAATTTCAAATAAAAAAATATTTTGTTACATGGCATAACTAATTTTAACAATCTTTACATCCTATTAATAATTGTCTCTGGTATATATGATTCTCCTCTTCGAGCTCATTTTAAATAAATTGCTTCTCAAATTACTTAAGCGCCATTTACGACAGAGAGTCCCTTAATTTGGCGTTCCAGAAAAAAAAGCGCAACAAATTATCTCAAATAAAATGTCAAGGAAACAAGCGTTCAGCGGCACCTTTTATCATTTCAGTTGGTTTTGTTTTAATTTCATCATTTCCATGTATCAAATAAGCAGTGAACATACGTTTTACATATACAAATCCATAAAGTATCTTCATAAAATAATTATATCGGATGCGATGCGAAGTATACTCACATATTTCTCGGATGCGTTAAATTAATTTAATGCTTTCTCCTGTTACCGCACAAAACGTCAAATTTTCGTCCCCACAAATGAATGCTGTAATAATAAATGCCTTATGGGGTGATCCTGCAGGAAATATCGAACG